CAGTGAGCTCCACAAGAGTCAGCACGGCGCTCAAGTGCTTCGGCGTCTCAACGTGTGACTCTGCAAAGGACATATTCATTGACGCGATTCACCCGCTTAGTTTGACCATCTGTCTACGGATGGTCCGCTGTTGTGTAGTTGTGTAGTCAACTTGGTGCTGATCACCCTGAAGAGTGTCGACCAAAACTTCCCAGTGAAGCGGGGATTCTCTCAGACACATTTGACTTCGGAAATCCATTGTATCGAATGACACGATCTACGAACAGCGTCGCTGTTCCCTAACCGTCGATGGTGTCCGGGACTACCGCAAGATGAGCCATCTTGCTCAGACGATCCACAAAAGACCACAACACCTGTGTTGCCCGCCTAGTCCTTCGGCAGGCCAACCACAAGTCCATACTCATGGACTGCCAACACCCAGAGGATACCGGTAAGATGGCCAGCGGTTTCACCGCATTCTGAGATGTTCTATTCGCTTTGACACGTCTCACACGTGCGCTCCTCTGTGCTCGTCCATTTGTACAGCTTGGGCCACCAGTAGTGGCAACTCACCGTGTTGTACGTCTTCTCACGACCGTGATGAACATTGAGTGGGGTGCCCTGGGCCTCATAGAGGTTTGGTTCTCATCGATAGGAACCACAATTCGTAGCGTATTTATCGAATCGATGTTATAGCAACCCGTTATTCAACGAATATCGGTGTAACCTTGCTCGCAATCTCGCCGACAGCTTTTCGTCCGAGTTTTCAGCCCCCTTGCACTTGAAAGTCTGCAGCAGCGCTACACACATACTATCATCCGCGAATGCGGCGCAGTTACTGACGACGCCACCGTCGTGACATGAGCAAGCTCATAAGCCGGTCTGCGTGACAACACATCAGTCAAAGCATTCTGCCCTCCTGGTTGATCCTTCACCTCAAAGTTTTATTCTGCGAAGAATGAGAGCCACCTGGCCAACCTCTGTGAGAAATGAGGAACCTGTCGCAGTGCGCAGTGATGCATGATCCGTATCGACAACTAACGGCTTTGAGCCCAGCAGGTGCACCCTAGACTTGACAAATGCATACTTCATTGCAAGTTATTCCTTGTCGTGGACTGGGTAGCTCTTTTCCGCAGCCTTAAGATGGCGAATTTCGAATGCGATCATCCGATCTTACCCCTCGGCGATTGCTTTCAGAAGCACAGCCGATGGCAAAGCACGAAGGAGGATGTCTTTGACCCTGTCAAAAGCGTCCCGATTCATGGTGTTTCAGGACCATTCCGTATCCTTTGTAAGGAGAGTCGACAATGGCCGCGGCATTTCTGCGTACGAATCGCTGTAGCTGCATAAAAAGTTGGCGAGACCAAGCCACTAGCAAAAGGTCTTTTGGTTCTTTGGAACCGGCGAGTCCACAGTGGCCTTGACCTTAGCGGGATCCGCTCGAAGACCACGCTTCCATATAAAACACCCTAGAAAGGATTTCTTCGGATACACATGTCTGCATTAGCATAAAGCTTATTCGTGCGCATGCACACGAGAACCGCTCTTTCATGGACGATGTGGTTCTCTTCATCTGTCTCCCCGTTCTCTGCAAGTCTGTGGACGAAGATGTCGTCGAGGTTTGTGTGTGCATACGCCCGGTGGGGCCTGAACAACTGCATCACAAGATGATTAAATGCTGCTGGTGCTTCGACAGCCCTTGGAGCATCATTATCCACTTTTAGAGCATCCCGCTTGAAGCACTCGCCGCTGTCAGCGGAATGTCACTCGCTCTCATGAGCAATAGGTAGTACCCATCGACCAAGTTGAGCGCACAATACCTTCCTTGTACATCCAAATATGTTTTTATGGAGAACATTCTTCTAGGAATCGTTGTCTCTGCCGGATCGGTGAAGCTTTGAGCTTATTGTAAGCGTGAACGATAAGCCACTTGCCGATCAGTTTTTGGACATTAAGTGTGGTTGTTCAATAGGGAGACTTGCTTTCACGCACCATTCATGCGTCGTGCTTTGCTCGGAAGAAGACGTCAATGACGTCGCGCTGCTCCTTGAGCACGGGCCATCAGCGTGTCACGCAGTATTTGGTTTCCGGAACTAGATCAATCTCAAAACGCACACCTCGGTCCGGAGGTAAAACGACTGGGAATCTTTGGAGACGACGTCTGGAGATTCCTTCACCAAAGGATGGTATGGATCCGAGAAATTCCTCAAGATCAATGATCTACTTTGTTCGCGGAGCCCCCCCTTGGTGTTCTCCAGGACAGCTTCGTCCCGAAAGATACGACGAGTGAACTTCCTCGTTCAGTCGTATACTGATCACCTCGGCGAATCGTCTGTCTTCAAGGCACCGCCAAACTCGTCGAAGTACATCTTGTCCAGCTCAAGGAGACCATTCTCTGCAGGAATAGCCTCGAGGATGATGTCGCCGTCTTCCTCCCTCGTCATACCGTTTACAAGGGTGTATAGCTGTGCGCTATCGGCTAAGGTAGACCATCCTGGGTCAGGGTCGACGCCCAGCGTCTTGCAGCTAGCATACGTCGCCGCTGTCGCCTCTTCACTAAGGTTGTACGTCCCTGCGAGCCTTGTGTAAGCACGCACTCAGCGTCGTTCGGCTTAAACCCCACTTCCTACTCTACTGGAGCCCTGATTTTATTAACAACATACGACGGAGAGCAGCCAGCCCCGCAGTCTTCGTCCAGTGGATAACGTGCTTCCCCACGCGCATGTAAGGGGTCTTACCCAAGATGCCTCGAACCTTATCAGACCATGCCACTCGTGGCATACAGCGACTGCATCGAAACGGAGCAGTGCTCAGTGGTTTACGTGCCACTCCACGTGCATCACTTGGGGCCCCGCCCCAGGTGCCTCGGCCCTTGGCCGACCACGTTTCTCCTGGCATGCAGCAACTGGTTTGACACATGAGCAGTACTCAGTGGGTTTCGTGCCACTCCACGCTCAGCCCGCGAGCCATGCTCGGGACTCTTGTCCAATACACCTTCAGTGTTCGACAACTCAGATACTCCAATATTCAGAACTTTGACCGTCCCGGGCGGAGCTTCTGCTTCTTAGCAGAGGTTGGTTCATGGCCCACCAAAGCTCCAATAGGAGACTTGCGCGTAGAGCCCCAGGACTTCGAACTCCAATCAATCCATGGCTCATGGTGTTCAAACCATGCCATACAAAAAGATAAGGCCATACCTTGCATCTCAGTTTAAGATTAAGCAGCGTTCCACGCTATCGCAGTCAAGAAACTTGACACCGATGTCTACAGGGACATCGGTACTGAGACACAAGTCCCCATCGTAACCCAAACAGTGACGGTGTCACTCAACCGCGCTTTCAGCGCCTCAGCGTACAGCTGACTTCTTTCGACCGTGAAGCGTCAGGCAATTGTGCCCGACACTCCGGAATCAGTAAGGATCTTCCATGACTTCTCAAAGCCCTTTACGGTCGTTTTTTATCAAGCAAGCCCGGCATTCCGTATTAAGAGCATGAAGCTGTTCGGTACTGAGCCCTGTTGACCTCTACCTCCTTGAGGTTCAACAGAACTCAGATCTTCCTCAGTAGGGAGCCCCGTACCTACTGGGTTTTATCATTTCACCGCGTCAAACCAGACTGGTGAGAAGCGGGATGTCCGTTCGATGAACCTTTACGCACCTTGCGCACGGTACAATCAGTCCAAAGGGGACTGGTGTCTCCACAGACAAGCCACTGTCGGGTGTTTAAACGCTACTCGATAGCTCGGAGCTCTCCCTCCTCTTTCTCTGCATAGCTGTGATCGATTGGCTTGGTCCCGCTCTAAGAGCTGCTAAAGTGGGCATTCAAACCAAGTCGTACCGACTTAAAGTTAGAGTCGACATTCAGTGCCATATTCACCGTTTCTTACAGTACCCATGCGTGACGTTAGCTGGCCCTGCTTTCATTACAACACCTGCTACTTCTTTGAAAACGGTGTGGTGTCGTGAGAAGTTTTAAGTTTTATGCGAGACATTCTTCTACGCATATTCTTCATAAAGGTGATAAACGTTACTTTGGGTCAGCCGCCGTACCAGCAATCAAAGTCATTAATCCCAGGAGATAATTCCCCGGATATCTACTTACTTGACGGGTGGACACGAATTTTGACCGAATAATAAGTTTGGTTTGGTGATCCTAACACTTGCAACATTAATTACTTAGGCTCCTTTGATGATGATTTCCGCTCGCCTACAGCGATTTTATACATTAGTGCACACTTTTGCGCGCGTTCCAAATTCAGACATCACAAGCGTGAATTGCTGAAGCTCTGTCTGAACAATGTGGTCTTATGACCATTAGATTTCTCTTAATCATTGGCAGGACTGTTTTTGCCCCATTTCACACTGAACTGAGCGCTTAGCAACGGTGGTATTACGATGGATATAGGCTTCGCTCACACCGACGACACCTGGCTGAGGCGTTCGTGAAGTCATCACTAGATCGTTTTCATATTTGATGAGACCTTACGACTCTTGTACCATCAGTTGCGCTAATTCGGGACGAACTGAAAACTTAGGATTGTCAAGTATGCCTTATCGTCCCGATACAGACTGAATGGTAAATCGTTCCCATCCTCAGAGATAATACAGTTATATTCAGGACTTGGTATTCGAATATCACGACGAGTACAATCAGATACTACGGGATTGCTGTGCATCTCGCAGAATGAAATTTGATTGAACGAGTCCACGTAAGTTACGCACAACTTAGGGTCGAGACTGAGCCCTTCTTTAATCTTCTTAAGATTGGCGTAGAGACAGCATTCATGTTGATAATCTGATGCTTGATATATCTGGTTTACTATCTTTATATAAGTAACGCATAGCGTGAGGTTACACCACTCACAGCACGAAATGCCACCAACAGCGTACTAATCATAATATTCTTCATAATTCTTAACTAAAATATTGCTGAGCCTTGCTTTAGTCCATGTGACAATACTGAAATGTGTATGTAAACCATGTTAGGAAAAATTCTTGGCTAAATACATCTTGCGTCATTTCATACAACAACAGTATTCTATAATAAAATACGCAGGTTGCTACGGTATTACGCCAATATCACTTTGCTTATATATCTGTCCATGGATTGAGCTAAGAGTGTCAAGTGGTCCCCTCTGGTGCTGTGGTTACGCACCGAGCAGATGAGCCAGTGGTCACCGATACGAAACCTACCAAGAACACGTTATCCTGTACCCGACGGAACCCAGTCGGGTATGTTAAATGTGTTGATATGTCTTTTACACAATTATTCTCACCAATACTAACAATTGGACTTTGGGATGGTGACTCGTAAAATAAAAATAAAAAACACTTGCAATTGGCGTCGACAGTGGCGTAGTTCTGATGACTTTGACTTCGCAAGCTTTGAAGACGCACCACAAGACATTCGCCTCACTCCCTGTCAAATGTATACATTAGTGCCTCCAGCCATGGTATCAACACCAAGATGTTTGGTTTTCCAGGCGCTCTGCAAAAACATCGATATGATCACCGCGATGCAATCATTCCACAGAAGCTACTGGGTAACACAAATCAGATAGTTCTCTGGCCTTTGTCAGGTCCAGGCCTCTCGGAAAATGCAGTCATGTGTACTAAAGGGGATTTTTTTTAATATACTTAAGATGTATCTGACAGCTCAGCGAAGAACGAGCCGTAAAAATTGTGTAGATACAAACACCACAGGGTCATATAAGAGTTTGTCGTCCAGGTTGCTTCCATTTGACAAAGACAAAAAGAGGAAAGGTTTCAACACATTTAGCGTTGAGTGTATATATTTGAAATTGGCGTTTGTGCTATACAGAATGCAAGCGATTCGCTCATTTGGTAATATGCATCAAATATATTTTTTAACATCAACGCTTTAGACCTCATACTAAACCTTGGAGAATAATCAGATATCTTCGCCTTCCTTATTCATATCAGATTCTTTTGCTGCCACGGATCGTTATAGATCATAGGAATGTTTAAGGTTTATTGCCATGATTGCGAAGGGATGCTACGCAAAGTGAAAGACACATGCAACGACTTCTATTTAAGGACCAGAAGTAAGATTATACACTTCTAGCGCACAGAGTGCAAATCAACGCCAATGCGGGCCAGTAGGTACAAATTTCGATAAACGGCTGAGGTCACCACTGAGAAATTGATGTCTTAGTCCAACCGCATTAGGACTCCAGACTATTTCGTCTCAACGGGTGAAATTGGTGAAGGCTCGTCAAGTTCCCAGGAAAAAAGTGACGATTTCAAAAAAAAAAAATGGACCACAAATCGTAAAGCTCCTAGCAACACTTTGGGCGCGCGAAACCACAGCGTCACAGCTATATGAGAATAACGTCTATGAAGCACGCCATACTCCGCGTGAGCTCAATATTGCCAAGTTTCAGGTTGCCGTACTACTTTAGATCACGATGCAATCCACGATTGGTATGGTAGAACGCAATGCCGCCTTAAAATTCGTAAAAATAGCTACTAAATCAAACACCTTCAGTCGAGACGAAAGTTTCTGGAGGCATTGCTCAGGTTCTGCTCCGAATCTTCACGAACAAGATAGAGTGTGCTCGTTCGGTACACAGCAACACAGAACATCATGACATTTAAAGTTGTAGGCACTTCTCTTTGTGGCTTTTTGCGCATGGCAGCGGACAGGATACTTGTTCATCCGTTTCCAAACGGTTTGTTTTAAGCGCTACGATGCGACCTGTTGTCAGGCCACCAGCCTTGCATACAAGTCCATATTTGTCCCCACCGACCTTTTCCACCTATTGATAGTTAACGACTGAAACAGGAGAAAACATCTCTTAAAGTAGATTCTCCCAAGTTTTGACTGTTCGAGCAATTTGGGTGGAAGGTAGTGCTATCAAATTGCTGCAACACTGAAAACGAGCAGCGAACAAAAGACCGCGACAAAGCCTCTGCTTTGTGACTCGATAATTAATTCAGTTGAGATATAGTTTTTCCTAAACATCACAGAAATTGATTGAAGTCACCGTCACGATCGTTAGTATCTTCAGTCATACCTGTATTTGTATCAGATTTAAAACCTGCTTTTGTGAAAATGAAGGTATTTGCTGTTGCAAAATATTCTCCTAACAATTTTATGACCTCATGGTCCCCAATCCAGTTCATAAATCTCAAATTGGCAGCCTGTTCGCTTTTTCCAAAATCGAGATCAACAAGCGAGTCAGGCAACTTAAGCACAGGCAATGAGGATCTTGGTGGTCCGCACAGATTCAGCGAAGTCAAATTTCCCTGAGACTTGATATATTGTCTAGGTTTATCGAACTCGAAGCCAATTCACCCACTGATTTTTGATTATTTTCTTTTCTTCTAAGTGGCTAAAACTCCTAAGCGAATCATTGGCGCACGTTCCTTCAAGCCTTTTTTGCAGATATTGTCCATTTCTCAAAGAGGCAAACGAAATGGCGAAGGTTACTACCAAACCAAAGACAGCGGCTGGCAAGTCGGCTGCAAAACTGTCGAAGAAAGTAATTAAGGGCTCACATGGAAAGGTGCTGAAGATTCGCACGAAGGTGCACTTTTACAAGCCCAAAACCCTTAAGCTTGCCCGCTCCCCACTTTACGCACGCAAGGCCGTACCGTCGCGCAACAAGCTCGATAAGTACCGCATCATCAAGGCTCCGCTTACCACTGAGTCTGCTATGAAAAAAATTGAGGACAACAACACTCTCGTCTTTCTCGTGGACTTGCTGGCGAATAAGCGTCAGATCAAGGACGCTGTGAAGCAGCTTTACAACATCAAGGTCGCTAAGGTCAACACCCTCATCAGGTAAAACACATCGCGTCGAGCTTGCAATCTTTACGACGGAGGAATTTTAAAATTCCATTGAGGTTCTTAACGTCTGGCCGTAGTCCTGATAGGGAAGTGCGGCAGCGTGGCCTTTTGGTGCAGTTTTCGTTTGCTGCTCTCCGTCAGATATTTTTTTGCGTAAATATGTACCGAATTAGTGCTGACCTCTCTGTCGGATTGTTTTCTTTGTAGGCCCGATGGTCAGAAGAAGGCATATGTGCGCCTTACTGCAGACTACGACGCTCTGGACGTGGCTAACCGAATTGGTGTAATCTAAGGTGTTTAGTTAATGAGCTAGTCAGTCTGCCTAAATCGCTTTTGTCATCTTGGAAAAAAAACAATGCAAGACCGTAGCACCCTCTGATGGAGCAGGTCTGGTTTTCTACTTGAATTGCTCCTTTTAAATGCTGTTTGAATGTCCTTGCAATAGCAACAAATTAGCAAATGGAAATAGATGTCGAGGAAAGTAAAATCGCTTCCATTCGCACTGACTTGTACTCCATACGTCTGTAATTGTTTTGATTCTGTCAAACGGTAATACACGCTCCTTAGCGCTATACTGCCACTTCACAATCGAAATTAACGTGGTAAGTACTATACAAAATTTTGAAATGGCAGTCATCATACCTATAATTCTAACGAAATTGACAAGGTAGGTGTTGTTATGCTAAAACTAGTAGCCGGGATCGTAAAACGGTAATTTGCCACAGCAAGGTTGCTTGTACCCAAATTTGTTCTGACTTTAAATACTGCCAATACAAAATACCGGAATTTTACTATACTGAGTGATATAAATGGAGGCAGTATCGGTATACTTTTCATTATACCAATACTTTAAAAGAGTTTCACATACTTTTTGTTTGACTATCATGGAATCTTACATTCCTTTGATATAAACTAGTCATTATCATGGCACATTTGTGCGTGATAGTGTTTAAATGGGGTCCACCAAGCTCCTGTAGATCAAACGAAGGATCTGTTTGCAGAATTTTGGCGCAAAAGCTCAAATTTGTTACTAATCGTGGTGGACGTGGACGTCAAAGATAATAATTGAGGAGAATTAGTAAGATGTTGCGAAAGCAAAACATAATATTTCGTATACGTCCATGTATCGCGAATCTATTAACATTTAGAGCTGTAAGATACCTAGTTACGGTTAAGGCTCTCGGTTTCGATAGCATAAACCCTACTTTTGTGCCTTTGTAGCGCCAATCCTATCCGAAAAGCTTTCTTTGTGTCAAGTGCACTGTACAATTCTAGCTCCAGTAATATAAATGAACTTAAGGGTTGCGCTTGACGATATCTACACATCCATTGTTCGGGAAACGTCAGCGTATGACAAAAATTGGATCTCTGTTTCAAAAACCATTTTTTGACTTTGCTCGCAGTAGTTTGAGAGCTTTTATCGGTCTAAACAGGCGTTTGCGATTCTCGACAATACTGCTAAGATCTGAGACCGAGAGGTTAAGTGGCTGAAAGGCAAGCCAAAGAGTCTTGGCTGTGCTGCGAAGACAATTGACAGAAATTAGGGGAGGGAAATACATTTGATAGTGATTGAATCAATGAGGCTTACAATTCTACTTTCTCGCTGCCTATCATTCTACATGACAAGATCACTTTTAATCGGTAAACTTTGTTAATCATCGGTCCCGGTTGCAGCGGGGCTGCCGTAGCTTTGCGCTTAGAGGAAGCGTTAATAGGTCAACGACTTTTCGTTCTATACTTAGAACAAGTACGAGTTTAGCGAATTGCAATCCGCTTACTCCAAGGGTGATTACAACCTTAGCCCAGGGCTAAGTAACTCTTCCGTTTGAATCCAAAACTGACTTTATTTTTTTATCTGCGGCAAAGCCCCCTAATTTTAAATGCATAGATTTTCCTGAATTCGTATAGTATAATCTTAATACATGTATCACTAGTGGTTATCCACCCCTGTACCTTATTCTTGTTTTGGTGTGGATCCTGAAGATGTGGAGCACCTCGTTGCGCAAGGGCCCGAGGACATAAGTGCGCACCTAAAGGGTTTTTTAAAAAAAGGAAATGCTCTACTAGAGCACTTACAGCAAAAGCTGTCAGCATCGACTGCGTCAATGACGCAACCGTCGATGACGGATGATTCCTTCCGACCCAGACCGCTCATAATGAGTGTTAAGACCTTCGAAATTAAGAATTTAGAGAATCTCCTGCTCAAGATAAAAGAGGCTGAGATGGCTATGGCATCCGTCATGCTTTAAAACGAGCAACAGTGCGTGAGGCATGCTATATCCAAGCTCGAGGGCCAAGCGCGAGAATGGGCACCACTGTGCGGTGCTTCGGTTGAAGCACCTCGTGGAATGAGCAGAAACATCAGCTTCTGCGAGAGTTCTAACCGCCGAATTTGGCATATCGCGTGAGATCGCGTCTTCTTGCTGCCTGACAGGGCAAGAAGGAGAAGTGGTCTTTGTCCAAGAGTTGAGAACTATTGTTGCTGGGATAGCCGCAGAAACTCTCCACGAGGCGGTCGCAGTGGCCGTCTTTAAGGCAAATCTCCGCACTAGCACGGCTAGAATTGAAGCCTACCGTTTGCATCCGTCTTCTACTGAAGAACCGGTCAACGTGTGGCATTGTATACCGAATTCAACTTCAAGTTGGCACGACTTGGTTGGAATGCACACCCTCAGGGCTCGTCGAGGGGCCTGAGCCAATGGATTTCAGCTCTGCTGAGCAAGATGGGGGAGAGATTCGAGCTGTCGGGCAGCGTTTGAACACCCGACGGTGGTTCGTTTGTAAAGACTCCCGTCACCGTCGAATGGACTGTCCCTTGCGCAAGGCGCATAAAGGTCCGTCGAACCGACGCCCCGCTTCTATTCAATCTAATTTAACGAGACAACACAGTAGGCGCGGGCGCCCTACTGTAGAAAACTGATAAATGTTGAACTCAAGGAGGTAGTGGTCATAAAGGCTCAGTTTCGAAGAGCTCCATGCTCTTGAACACGGAACGCCAGGCTTGCTGGTTGTGGAAGCGATTGTGAAGGGCTTTGAGAAGCCATGGGAGATCATCTGGGGTGTCGGGCAATTATGCTCGACGCTCCACGATCGCGGAAAGTCAGCTGTATGCTGAGGCGTCGAAAGCGCGGTTAAGTGACACCGTCACTGTTTGATTGGCGACGGGGACATGTGTCACTGTGCTGAGGGTCCCTGTGGACCTCGGTGTCAAGTGACACATGAGTTTGACTTTGATAGCGTGGACAATTAGCTATACAAAGGATAACGTCATACCTTGGTATGGCCTTCTTAAGGTGGATGAGATGTCCTTCGAAGAGTGTAGCGGTGCCTTGAAGGCAGGCAATCTAGCCGAGGTGGTCATTATAAAACCGAACAAGGAGATTAACTCGTCGTCGCTTCTGGATGAAGCTGTCCTTGAGGACACTGAACGCACGAAGTGGATCGTCGATTATGAAGGATCCTTCTGATATGTATTATTCTTCGATAATAGATTTCCAAGACGTCGTCTCCAAAGACCTGCAGTCGGTCCTACCTCTGGATTGAGGTGTGCGTCATGCGATTGACCTGGTTCCGGGAACAAAATACTGCGTAACACGCTAATGGCTGAGCCCAAATCGCAGGTGCGAGCATGAGGCAGGATTGTGCGTGAGAGCAAGTCTCCCCAATCGACACCCACGTTTTGTGTCCGGAAGCCGAAAGGCAAGTATCGTATCGTTCACACTTACAACAATAAGCTCAACGCTACCGCCATTTCGGCACAAACGCCGACTTCCAGGAAGATGTTCTCCAAAACAATATTGTTGGCCTTACAAAATACAGTGCACTTGACTTGGGCGATGGGTTACACCAAATGCTCATGAGAGCGAGTGATATTCCGTTGACAGCGGTGAGTGCTCCAAGCGAGATGCTCTGGGAGCGTCTGGTGATCCCTTCAGAGCTGTCAGATACACCTGCAACATTTAATCGTCTCGTGACGCAATTGTTTAGGACCCATCCGTCGTTTGCACAGACATACTTCGACAACACCTTCGTCCACAGTCGTGCGGAGCATGGGAGGACTGATTTGGAAATCTACATCGTCCATTTGAGATTGGCACTCGAGTGCATGTGCACTATTAAGCTGCATGCTAATGCAAACAAGTGCATCTTGGCGCTGAAAATACCTTTTCAAGGGTGTTCTATTGGGAGTCGTGGCTTTCGAGCTGATTCCGCTAAGGTCAATGCTATTGTGAACTGGCCGGCTCCAAAGAATCAAAACGACTTGCACAAGTGGCTTGGCCTCGACAACTACTTGCAAACGTACAGCGCGAATATGCGGGAATGGCACGGGCATTGTTGAATCTCTTTAAAAAGGATATGGAATGGTGGAGGGACTTTGAGCATCAGGAGGCTTTTGACAGGGTCAAAGACAGCATTCTCCATTCATTAATAATGGCGTTACCAGATCCCGATCGTTCTTTTAGTGTAGTATGTGACGCTAGGCGCCTCACCACTCACAGAGGTTGGTTAGGTGGCTCTTCTACTTTGCAGAATATAACTTCGAGGTGAAGTATAAACTAGGAGGCAAAATGCTTTGGCTGATGCATTGTCACGCAAACCGGAGTATGAGCTTGCTCATGTCACGACGGTGACGTCGTCAGTGACGGATTTGATCCGCGTCGCATACGCGGGTGATATTATGTGTGTTGCGCTGCTACATGCTCTCGGGAGCAAGGCGGACAAGAAGTTGTCGGCGCGTTTCATGCAGAGCTACGCCAATATTCATTGTGTAACAGGTTGCTGTAATATAGCACCAATTCACTGGATATGCCACAAATTGTGGTTCCTCGCGACACTCACGATAAATTTTAAAATCTTGTATCCTCTATGGGACCACGACATGGTCACTTCGATCATGAAAAGACGTACAGTTCTGTGAGTTGCCACTACAGGTGAATTAAGCAGTAAAAATGGACGAGCACATACGTGCGCACGTGTGAGACTTGTCAGAGGGAAAAACACTATCCAAATGCGGCGGCGCCGCTGGCCAGTTTACCGGCAACCTCCGGCTGTTTGTAGTCCATGAGGTAGGACTTTGTGTTTGGCCTGCCGAAGAAATCGCAGGCAATACGGGTGTGGAGGTCTTTTGTCGATTGTCTGAGCAAGATGGTTCATCTTGCGGCAGTGCCGGACACCATCGATGGTGTGGGTACAGCGACACCGTTTGGTCATGTTTTTCGACAACATGGATTCCCGGGGTCAATTGTCTCTGATAGAGACCCGCGCTTCACTGGAAAGTTTTGAACTACACTC